GGACTGCGATAGGCTGATGATGATGATGTGAAATACGCCTCTGCATACCCCATCGTTGAGACAGGCGTGAGGTTATGTAAGTGTAATATACTCAATTCAACATTTAAGGGCAGTAACAAAAGCAAAGCTTTGTCCATTTTACTTGTTTATACCAGCCACTGGTCGCAAAAACGGTGACTACCTACTCATTCTAAAGGTCAAATTTACAACAAGAAGTGTAGGGTTCAGTCGAACTTGTTTCGTGTCCTTGACAGCTAATGTCTCTTTTGAGGAAGAGCATCTGGTTTTGTCGGATTTTTCTTTGTTCGAAACACGCGCCGTATTTAACTCAAGGATTTTTAGTTCTATATTTAGGGTAGATGCTTTTGTTGGCCCTACCTATAAAAGTATAAAATTTATTTTTGATATTTTACTAAGCGTAACTTGTAATAAAGAAAACAAAAAACATTCAAATACGCTTTCATGCTTGTATCCCTAAAGGGGAAGGCAGTTGGGTATTAAATACCTATGTTTTACCTTCAACAATTTGGTCCCACTAAAGTAAAAGATTGCTTGAATATTGCCTTTAATCGGGCATTTGAGATATAAAGTCTAGGAAAGTAGTATAACAGACGGGTCACTTGATGGTAAGTGACGATCGCCGTCCATTAACACCTGCATGTCAATAGATACAAGTGCATTGCCACCCTTTGTGCCCCCTTTCCTCCCCCAGAATTAGAGAAAAGGAGTTTATTTCTTTTTATTATTTACAGACACCTTAATGCTAACGGAATAATCCCTGAGCAGAAAGTGATTATGGATTTACAGCGTCGTCATATTTTAGTTGCGTTAGATCCACGTTGTCATCTGTTGTTTAAAAACAATATACAATAAGCTTAGCATATAGGCAGCGATGGTAACAAAGGAATTAGACGAATTCGATCGATATTCAGATAAAGATAAGCCATTAGATTAACTTTATCGACACAATCTAACATGTGTTACCAATAAATCTATACTAATATTATAAAGCTGAAGAGTTTGTTTGTTGGTTTGTTTGTTTGTTTGAACGCGCTAATCTCAGGAACTACTGGTCCGATTTGAAAAACTCTTTTAGTGTTAGATAGCCCATTTATCGAGGAAGGCTATAGGCTATATATTATCACGCTAAGACCAATAGGAGCGGAGCACCAATGAAGAATGTTTCAAAAACGGAGAAAATTTATTACTATTGAGAGACGCAGACGAAGTTGCGCGGGTCAGCTAGTTGAAAATAAAATAGACTGCCGTCGTCTTTATTATCACACTTTCTTGGGAGCCCCGTGGAGGGATATACCCGAATCCCTTGCAACATACTTACATGTGATGGGACACTGTGTGGTTTTAATTCGACATACCACCTTAAGCCCCGATGAGGTGATGAACATGGAGATTTCCACATGATGAAAAACAAAATAGTTATCACCGAACTCTAGTGCACTTGTTTTAATTTTCCTATAAAAAGTAGCAACGTAATCACACATCTATTTTTATTCACCATGTTCTGAATGCGTTACTTCTTAGACTTGACTTTTTAAGTATTTTTTTTTTTTTTTTTTTTTTTTTTTTTTTTTTTTAATCTTTATTTGATTCGGGGTTTTGATCCAGTAAGGATATGCCAACCCCATTGTACCTTGATACATGGTAAACACAAATAATTTTTGTTAAAACAGTCTGGTATATTAAATCATTGCTGAACTACTGTAATCAGGTGACACAATTTTTTAGCTGCTTCTGACCTTGGATAACTCATTATGCTTTGTATTAAACCCACATCTAATAAATTTATATTTAGTTCTTTGAGCAAAGCCTCGCGTTCATTTTTATTCCTCTCACAATCCATCAGCAAGTGTTGCACATCTTCTATTTTATTACAAACAGGACAATTAGGTGAGTCAGTTTTTTTCATTAAATGTGCAAATTTTGCTGATGGATAGTGACCAGATCTAATTCTAAGAGCTAGTTTCACATAGTGTCTGCTTAATCGAGCGTCATCAAACCATGCGACCTGAGGAGGCATTGCCTGAATGGTTTTGTACCAGATACCTTTTTCCTTAGATCTATCGTTAAAATAAGTAACCCAGTCATCATAGCAGCATTTTTTAAATTTAGACACTAATTCCCAGTCATCAGGTAGATAATTTAGAGCGCTTCCATTTACAGCTGCCAGTTTAGCTATTCGGTCTGCCTGTTCGTTTCCCTTAAGACCAATATGTGCTGGAACCCATTGCAACCTTACATCTTTTTCACTTTTATTTAAGGAAATAATAGTTTTTAAATTTTCATAGGCTATCGAAGCACCTCTGAAGCCAGAAGCGCATCGAGCCATATGCTGCAGCGCACTCTTACTGTCCGAAAAAATTACAATTTTGTTTGAATTTAGATTTAGGTTTTTTACATAAGATAATGCCTGAAATATTGCAATCAGCTCCAGCGACATTATGCATGCCTCATAGTTAACTTTAAAACCAGCCGCATATTCCAAATTTTGATCATAAAAACCAGCTCCCGAACCACATTCACTTTTAGACCCATCCGTAAATATCTTATGCCACTCGCTGTATGTACTGTTTAATTCTGCCACTATGTTATTCAACAATAAATTAGGCTCATAATTTGTTTTTGAGGATTTTATACATTCCAGGTTTAATTTAAAATAGTTTTTAGTTTCTATATCTGTTACCCAACCATCCAAGGAAAACATACCATGAAGATGGAATGAATTAATATTGCATTGGCTCACATCACTAAAAGTCTTAATAAGCAGCGGTTTTCTCTTATTCGCCCAATATCTATCAGTAGACAGGACGTTTAAATTTGATATTAGGTCGACAATTTGATTACTATCCCAAGAAGCCGCTTTCAGACTATATTTATAAGCCAAGAATTGCCTTCTCAGAAACAATGGCATTAAATTTAACTCACTTTCCATAACATGGATCGGTGAACTTTTAATAAAACCCCCTATAATTCTTAAAGCCTGGTTTTGCAATCTGTCAATTTTTAATAAATGTGTTTTTGCACAACAGTCAAAGATGAATGATCCGTAATCTATTCGACTTCTTATCAAATTAATATATAACCTACGCAAATGTTTTGTGTGCACCCCCCATGCGCTACCAGCTAGTACTTTTAAAATATTTAAATATTTGGAACATTTTTCAATAGCTTTGTTAATGTGCTTACCCCATCGTAAACCTCTGTCCAACCACATACCTAAGTATTTAGTACAGTCTGATAATAATAAATTTTGCCCATTTAATTTTAGTATGGGAGTTATTCTCCTTCGACCCCTGCTATAGACACAGTAATTAGATTTAGTGGGAGATAATTCTAAACCAAGTTCGCTTAAATATGTCACTATAGTGTTTAAGTCACTTTGCATGTTTCTTTCACATTTTTTTAAGTCCCTGTTCTTAATATATAAAACGTAATCGTCCGCATACTGTGACCATATTACGTTTAAGGGCAATGTATTAATCCCATGTGTAATTAAATTAAAAAGTAATGGGGATAGGGGATCTCCTTGTGCTAAGCCTTTATTAGTCCACCGCATAATCAAACAGTCACTATTATTATTTATTTTAATATTAAGTTGTCTTTCACTTAGAAGTGACCATATGTAAGTACATATTTTAGACCCTATATTGAGTTTATCTAAAATATTAGTCGCAGCCTCTATTGACACATTGTTATATGCATCTTGAATATCCAAGAAACAAGCCAAAGTAGGGCAATTTTCTGTGAAGCCAATTTGTATGTACGTAACCAACTTAGTGACCGCATCTAGACAGGAATGTGCCTTCCTAAAACCAACCGTGTTTGATGAAAGAATACTTGTCTTTTCCGCAAACCACTCCAATCGTTTGTATAACATTAAATGGAAAGTTTTACATAGACAAGACATAAGGGATATAGGCCTAAGTTTAATCTCGGAGGAATTATTATTCAATTTTGGTATAGGAATTACTTGAACCTTTCTCCATTGATGAGGGACAGTACCGGAGTTTAAAATGTTATTGTAAATTTAACTTTTTAAGTATTTTGACGAATATCGAAATACAATTAAAAACCTTCAACATGTTAAGTGAAACTAGAAAACCAATCACAATGGAATGATTATCATTGTCTAAAAATAAATTAATATTACTACGCTATGTAGGTCTTATTCGATGTTGTCTTAATATATTTACCTACAAGATACAATATGTCAAACTAATAGATATATGTATACTAGCTGACCCGGCAAACGTTGTTTTATTTCAAAAATGTATGTCAAAAAAAAAAATTGGTGTATGAAAAATAGATGTTGACCGATTCTCAGACTTACCCGATATGCACACAAAATTTCACGAAAATCGATCGAGCCGTTTTGGAGGAGTTCAACCACGCACACCGTGACACGAGAATATACATTAGAAGTAAGAACGACATAAACATTAGCAAAGTATTAAATTATTACTATTATTTATAATTTACAAAAAATATTCTACCAAAAGCCGGATACTCCGTTTTACGACCTTTTTATTCAAATAATAAGGAATAATATCTAAGCCGGCACAGATGATCAAGTCATATCGGACTTAATTCTATTTTGATATTAATCAATAACAAATATATTTTGAGTTATTGAGTTTAACATTTATAAACCCACTTTATAAGCAGCGAACAAGGTCCTTTAATGTTACTAGTTATAATGGCCAGGATTATTTTTTCAAACATTGTCTTCTCTTATTTCATAATGTTAAAAAAAGTATTACTCTACACAATGACAACTCTTTTTGAAAAATATGTACTTACTTAGATGAATATTCTTTCAATTGATGATGTTCTTGATTTTTGTTATAGTATTCTGCCTGTCATAGTCTGTTATCATGTTCTATTTTGTGGTCATACTCAGGATGGCTGAACTTTACATTTTAAGTAAATTTAACTAATGTGTATAGTTTATGTTTAAAAAACATCGCTATTATTTGTTCCAGTTTGGTCTCCCCAACGGGCTTCATAACAGACGGCCCGGGGAACTACAGCGTCAGCACCCAATGTTCCTGGCTGTTGACCCCACCTCAGGTCGGTCACTCACCGCCGCCTCTGCGAGTGAGGCTAGAGAGCTTTGCGACAGAGTGCGGATGGGACCACCTCTATGTGTATGATGGTGACAGTGTTAGAGCGGAGAAACTCCTCGCTGTGTTCAGGTAAGGAAACGTCAGGAATTATTACTGTTAAAAAGTTGTGCATTGCAATTACTTTTTATTTTATTTTAATTAAAGGGGCTTACAGATAAATACAAAAACTTGTGAATAAGGTCAATAAATGCCAATAACAAGCTTCCACAATTAGTTTGCAACATGATGGTATCCTTTTGGGGTCATTGCGTTATTGTCTGATTCTTTTTTTTTTAATCGTCAATAATTCAAGACCAGTAAGTTTTGGAAGGATTCGTGTATCGATTTCTGAATCACACTAATTTTTGTCTTATGCAGTCCAAGAATCCCTGAAATCTATTTTAAGACCACTCAAAACATCAGAAATTGTATATATGCATTTTTTTTTTATTCCAGTGGCGTATTAGAAAATAGTGAATCAAGTTGGACGCGACAAGTAATAGCGCGTTCGGGAAGTGCGCTGCTCCATTTCTTTAGTGATGATGCGTATGCCATGGAGGGGTTCAATGTGACATACGCTGCGTATTCCTGCCCCTCCAATGACCATAGGACTAATTGTTCCAGTAAGTATACAGAGCTTTAGTACTTTTATTTTTAAATTTGAACATAACTGCAACGGTCAACTCATAAACGTCGCGTATTTAAAATTCCTAGGAACTAATGTGTTTATAAATAAGTAGATAAACAGACGGAGAATATAAGGATGTTACATGGATTCCTTAATACCTTTTAAGGAACGGAACCCTAAAAAGAAAAAATTGAGTTAGATATTTTCATTACGGGATGTAGGTTCTGTGGTTACTAAGCAATTCGACTTCCCTTCGCGATCACACCAACCGTCACTAACTTATATTACTTTGATTTCAGATCACGGTGAATGTGACGATGGAACGTGTAGATGTGAAAAAGAGTGGACTGGAGAAGCATGCGACCAGCTCGTGTGTCCAGGTGAGAGAGACAGTTTAGCAAGTATGCAACGTTAAAGTAAAAATATTTGAAATTAAACTAAGAGAAAAAAATATAATCTAATAAAAAGTTTACTTAGTTGAGGGGCTCGTGGCTAAGTGGTAATCGAGTAATTTAGCATCTTGCAAAAGTTAAGCAATCCTAGCTAGGTCAGTCTATAGATAGGTGACTATTCTTAACACATGGACACCCCTCCGTGCCTTGGAGATCACGTTAAGCCGTCGATTCCGATTGCCGTCTGTAGCAATCGTTACGGAATATCTGTGGCAATCGTTACAGGCAGTTGGAAACCAAAAAGTTTGACAACAGTCTATAAAACTTCGATATAGTATCTATATGAGTATGGAGGTCTGATGACCGTCGCTCCACTTAAAAAAACGAAGTTCAGCCGTGTTATATTAGACTGAAAGTCGACCCAACGTAGTTTGAGAAAAGGCTAGCAGCCATTGGTGATAATTTCTGTTGTTCGAAAACTCTAACCTATACTAAAAATCACTAAAAAATAGTTAAGTCCTGTTAAGTACTACGTTTTCAGAATAGGAAACGTTATTTGATAGGACTAAACTAATTTTTAGTTTAAAGAGTTTTCGAAGAACAGAATTAGCACCGTTGACAGCTTAAATTTAAGTTTTAATGCCAAATAATCTAATTTTGATAGGTTACTGAGAAAACGATTATTAAAGTTAAGTGACGTGGATTACAGAGGAGTGCAACGCGGCGTACGGCGGCGGCACGTGCATCACGACAGGCTGCGCGTGCGGCGCGGCGCGGCGCGGGCCGGCGTGCGCGCGCGAGGCGTGGCGCGCCGGCTGGGCCACCGCGCCGCGTCTCCACGGCGCCGCCCCGCCGCCTGTCGCCGCGCACGTGCTGCTGCCTTACGGGGACGACCTGCTGCGGGTCGGGGGCGAGACGTTCGCCAACTCCGCCTTTTTATACAAGTATGTTAGACTTTCGCATTGTAACTAAAACACTTAAATAGTTCGGACCTTTAACACACAACGCCATCTAGTTTCAAACTAAGCAGAACTTGTACTGTGGAAGCTAGATTGACTGATAGAATAGTTTTATACATTTTTTTTATAAATACATACATATTATACATAAAAAACACTTAAACTCCGAAACAAATATTTGCAGATCATACAAACTTTTGGTCCGACTTGGGAATCGAACCCCAGACCTCAGCACAGTAGTTGCATACGCTACCTACTGCAAAACGAGACAGTTACAGAAGACCAGGCCTAATATCTAATTTTCACATAGGCACTTCCAAATCCTGGCGTTTCTATGTATAATAAGTATGTATTTACAAAAAAAAGTATATATGTATTTATATCAGTTGTCTGGTAGCCATAGTACAAGCTCTGCTTAGTTTGCTACTAGATGACGTTGTGTGAATGTAGTAGAATATATAAAAAAAAACTAGGCAGAGCCTGTACAGGCTCTGCCTAGTTTTTTTTTTATATGTGGTAACCAGACCGCTGCTAAGCATACTTATATATTTCTAAATACATACATGTTATAGACAAATTACACACTGAAAAAATGATCGTGCTTCTCACGCAATATTTGTCCTGGGAATCAAACCTTAGACCTCTGGCTTAACAGTCAGGGTCACTAACCACTAAACCACTAGACCACGGTACAATTATAATACAGTATTGTAACTCGGCCGCATGATAGAAATAAATGCCTACAGCCGCGCGGTACTTAAACATGCGTTAGGGCTGCCCGTCTCCAGCATTTTAATTATATTTGCCTACTTTCTGTTTCTATTTAGATTTGTGATTGTAAATATCCTTTTTATATGAATAAATGAAATACTTTGTATATTCAATAGGAATTGTTCAATAAAAATGCGTGTTGTTTTTTGATTGGTAGATTTAATTAAAAAACATTTTTTTGTTTGAAAAACCAATCGGGCTTATAAATTAGCGACCGAAAAAAATCCTTCTATAAAATAAAATAAATGTGCTTTCTCCATACGCGTTACAAAACTCCAATCCTTAGAAACTCCAACACCTACCACCTACTCAACTAGAATGCAAGAAACAGCTGACGAGTAAGTAACTTTTTATCTCAGCTAATTAACGTCTCTATAAATTACCTAACCTGTAACCTACAACTCGCAACAACTCAAAACAAAAATTCTTTGGTCACCAATTAATTAATTATTAAAAAGCTGAACAGCTGACTACGAATGTTTTAAAATCACAACCCTCAAACATCTAAATATTATATATGAGTCTAGCTGTTGTTGTTAATACCGAGAAAATAAAACCAGTTTTTAGTGGTATATGTTGTTATAGTAGCAGCAGAAACACTTTGTGAAAATTTCGAAAACTGTCTAATGACACACAGACGGTAACAAATTTTTTTTAGTATTATTCATACACACAGATAATAAAGATATATTATTAATAATAAAATACCACGTCTTTAAGTAGAATTTTCTTTTTTTTGAATTATGCAAAGTAACAAAACAAACATGCACCGAAGTTTTAACACAAGCGTAAGTAGGTAGGTACCTACCGTATCATGATTCATTCAGAACCGCATGTAACTCCCTATTTCACTCGTCTCAATAACTTTCCGTTACTCTATTTGCTTTATTTATTCATCCAAACACCTTTTTTTCGTGAGATAAAAGGAAATACTTATCCATTAAAAAGACACACATTATGTACCTACGTACTAGTAAGTAAAATTATTTTATAGTCTTACTTTTCAGAGTTTCCAGGTAATTTAAAAAAAACTTATGTCTGGATGCGTTATTGACGAATTCATACAACCAAAAACAGCACAATATTTCCTACTCGTCATATTAACTGATTTTTAGAGAAAAAATCGCGCGGTTATTGTTAAAAAAACAACACGCAGTCCGTTCGACACTGCGGTACAGCCGTGACTGTCTGCGCCCCGAGCGCACCCCGAGATCGAGGCGCGTAGGTATTGCTCCCGTTTCGTCCGTTTGTATGAAGTTGCAGTACTGTATTATAATAGTACCGTGACTAGACCAAAAGACCCGTCAAAATTAATTCTTTGAGAGATAAAAAACTCAAGTCATTTGTTGGTTTTAATAATAAGGTGAACCCGTCTGACGATGAAAAATTACCAATGCCGTATAGGCATTACAAATTAAGTGTATTTTGTCCTGTCCTGTTCTTCCCTGACATTCTATTTACGTTCAAATAAAAACAGAGTCATACTAGTAATCTTATGTCCCTCTCTTCTAAAACAAATTTGAAGTTAAATAAATAAAATAAATCGTATACATCGTATCATATGTTACTACTACACGGCTGTATATTTCTAAAAAATGAGGCGAGGGCGACATGAGCTACGTCCATATTTCCCCAGTTATAGCTCAATCCTGGTAACATACTAGGCGCAGCTTTATAATACACTTTTGACAATGTTTCTTTCATTGAAAATTTGAGGCAATTCGTCAATAGGCACTGGAATACAGCAGTGTAATGTTTTTTTTCCAGATACAAAACTGCCGACCAAGAATGGGAGGAGGTACAAACGTTTGAAACACCAGCACCGCGTTTCGCCCACTCGGCCGTGCTGTACGGGCACGAGCTTATCGTGTACGGGGGGGTCATCATATCTGATGAGCCAGAGAGAGGGTCAGTACATCAATGTAATTTAGCCAAAAATTGACAATGTATATGTAATATACTTTGGCTTCATATCATCTTGTGAAGTGTGATTGGATGAAGTGACCGGAAGTCAAACATCCTCCCGTTCAAATTCTGGGGGGATGCGAAGTTTCATGTGTCAATAGATGGCGGTAGTTAACTACCGTCTGACTCAGCGGCACGTAAACAATGGAATTTTAATAAGGCTGACTTCAGTTGTTTATACTATTTGTTAGCGACTATGGATTGGAGTGAAATGTATAAGTTGAGTGATCCCGAAATGATTTTAGATATATTCTATCATAATATATACGATGCATTTGATATTTGTATTCCTCGTAAACAAATCAGTGCAGTTGGGAGTAGGTATACATATCCGGTATGGTATACGCCGGACCTGATTAGGGAAATAAAATGTAAACACAAATTACATAAAAAATACAAAGCGAGTAAATTGCGTAGTGACTATGACGTTTTCAGTAGGTCTAGGGCAAAAGTAAAGGCGGATATTGTACGAGTGCATGATCGATATTGTGAACGTGTACAAAGTCATTTAGCTTCCGATCCGCGAGCGTTTTGGGACTACATGCGGTCTAAAAAGAGCAACGCTGGTAAACACCGATTAATGAAGGGTGGTTGCACGTTATCTGAGGACCAATGCGCAAATGAATTTGCACGATTTTTCCATTCCGTATACAAACATGAGCCTCCCAAGCTGAACGCGGCGACGGCGAGCGCGGCGGGGGCCTATCTTCCAGGTGCGCGTATTTCCCTTACTCGCATACGCGAGCGGGATGTTCTGGCCGCGCTGGCCCGTCTGCCGCCTAAGCGCTCCATGGGACCTGACGGTATACCAGCTTTCGTTTTTAGGGACTGTCGCATGGTATTAGCTGCACCTTTATTGTTTTTATTTAATGCATGTATTGATACCGCAACATTTCCGGCGCGCTGGAAACTTACACGAGTCGTGCCTGTTCAGAAAGGCAGTGGAGGCCCGGATCCCAGTAATTACAGACCTGTTGCTGTTCTTAGTACTCCAGCTAAAGTGTTGGAATCCATCATTCACGAAGGTCTCTATAGACAGGTAGGTTCCCAGTTGTCTGACGCGCAGCACGGCTTTCGTGCTGGGCGTGGGACAGCAGGAAATTTGCTTCACTTGATGTCGTGTTTGGTGCCTGCAGTGGACGCTGGCCAGCAGGTGGATGTCGCCTACTTCGACTTCAGGAAGGCGTTTGATATGGTTGATAATGACATTCTTTTGACCCAAATGGCAGCCGTAGGTTTTACACCACATGTGCTAGCGTTCTTCTCAAGCTACCTACGGGATAGACGTCAGTATGTTGACTGTGGGGGGTGTTTTTCTGAACCGTACTTTACGAGATCTGGTGTAAGTCAGGGCAGTACCCTGGGTCCGTTTCTCTTCATTTTAATGATTAACAGCCTGCCGGAAGTGGTTGGTAACTCGATACCATTGCTATTTGCGGACGACCTGAAGTTGGTTCGAGTGATTAGTCACAGTGCGGATCACGACTTGCTGCAACAAGATATAGATAGGGTGGTAGCGTGGAGCTTAGAAAATAAACTATATTTTAATGTATCTAAGTGTTCCGTGTTGTCGTTCAGCCGAGCGCATAACCCTCGACACTACCAGTACCACATGCAGGGATCGCCTCTCCAGCGGATTAACGAGGTCAGGGATTTGGGCGTTCGTTTCAGCCCAGATTTAAATTTTGGTAAGCACATTCAGGATGTTTGTAAAAAAGCTTATCGTAATCTCGGGTTTCTTCTAAGGAACGCAAATGAATTTACGAACATCGCAGCACTGAGAGCCTTGTACGAGGCATTAGTTAAAAGTCATCTGGAATGTAATTCTTGTATCTGGTCTCCCCATCAAATCAAATATAAAGTAATGTTGGAACGCATACAAAATAAATTTATTAGGTTTTTATATTTGAAGGTATTCGGTGTGTACCCAGGGTATCCATTGTTGTATCCCACACTGTTTGTTTTGGGCATGGTGGGATACTACAGGCTGGAAGTGAGGAGAGAAGTAGCTTTAGCCACGTACGTATTTAAAGTGTTACGTGGATTGATACACAACCCAGCTATCCTACAGGAGATCTCACTTTGTGTGCCTAACGATTATGTGACACGGCGGAGGTGCCCGCGCTTGCTTGCGGTGCCGCCCGCGCGCACCAATCTGCTGCATTGGGCGCCGTTTACGCGCGCGCTGCGTGCGCTAAATGCGGTGTCGGAACTGTCGGATCATTTTGACGTTTTTTCGTGTTCGCTCAATGAGTTCACAAAGGCCATATATTGCGTACTGAGTAATTCTAATTCTTAATTATTATTATTTTTTTACGTATTTTTTCATAGATTTGTTTGTTTTTTTTTTGTAAGTCTTGCATTATTGTATTGGTCTAGCTGTAATAATAATGTATAGTATGGTGTAAATAAATAAATAAATAAATAAATAAATAAAAACTTGTGTTTTCGTTTGTCTTTTATACCATAAAGAAAAGAAAAATAGTGTTTCCCCTTTTTGTAACACTGTATATTTGTATGTACTATTATAACATTATAAATACGAATGTAAGTTTGTTGATTTGTGACACTTATAGCTGAACTATTGATAATCATGTAACTTAGCGTGCGCTTTGAAAGCCATAGTATAGAAAAGGATAAATGTAAATTTTGATCTAGAAAGAAAGTAAAGTGCCCGAGTGATACAAAAGAAGCAGCGGGCATGTATGTATATAATAATAAAAGTATATAGTTGTGTATTTTTTGCTAAAAGAATATATTATTGTCTGTAGCGGCGGGCTGGCGGGGCTGGAGGGCCGCGCGGGCGCCGTGAGCAACGAGGTGTGGCGCGTGCGCCTCGGCGACACCGCCACGTGGCGCAACGCCACGCCCAGCGCCTGCAGCCCGCACCGCCCCGCGCCGCTCAAGCACTGCGGTACGACACGCCCTCCGCACACCACCGCCTCCACACACCGTAGCCTCCACACACCGTAGCCTCCACACACCGTAGCCTCCACACACCGTAGCCTCCACACACCGTAGCTTCCACGCACAATAACCTCCACACACCACAGCCTCCACAACGCCTCTACTCGTATTATATTTACAAAGTAGATTCAAGTCATATGCTCCCTTCAACATGGCCGTCTTTTGGTCTAATGGCTAGTGATACTAAATGCTAAGCCGGGGTTTCTTGGGTTCAAATCGCAAATCATATGATTAACAATTAGCTATTGTTGAGACTTGATATTAATCTACAAAATCACTGCGATTGTGAGCGATTATTATAAATTTGCTAGCGCCAACTCGCGTAAGGTGTCGGTCTAAAAAAGTCTTTGAGAGAAAGAAAATTCAACTGATTTGTTTTTTTTTGTTTAAGTTTTGATGTCATTTATCACTGGTATAATCGCAGTGACCAATCATTTGATCATATGATTATTATTTAAGAGTTGCGATAATTGCCATCACTAAAGGTCACCAAATTATAAGTAACTACATAAACACATTCAATTCAAAATTCGATTCCCACTCATGATAAATATTTATGTAATTAGCATGATCATGCCTGAGACATGTCAAGTTATTATTATTTAACATGTTGATCTATTGTGTAGATAAATGACATCACATTCCCAGAAAGTCTGTTTGTCTCAAATATACAGACATTTATGTTATCGTAGTAGTAATAATCCCCTAAAACATATCATGTGACTCCCGATCCAATTTTGTATTCTTCCAAAAAAAACTAGCCAAAACCCAGCATTATTACGCATTCCGTCAGCTTCAAATTAAATCAGGAAAAGTGCAATAACAAGCTGATGATGAAGATTGCCAAACATGCACTAATTTACTAAGCAAGAGCTTTGTTGCTCATTTCGATGTAATCTATTGTTTTCTAATTAACAACAAATTAGTATTATAATATTTATCTCAGCATATTCGAGATAACTATGATTGTGAGCAAATCAATAATATCATACGTGCGGTCAACACTGAAATGAAATGGTTAATTCTGCAAATAGGTCACAAGTCAATTTTTTTTGAGCATATGAGTTCGGCCTTTTTGGACTAGCCCTGAGAAGAAAGCACGAAACAAACTCATCGATAATCGTCTCTTTTAAAGTCTAGATAGACACACTATAGATATTATATTAGAGCTCTATGTTTTCTTATTGCAGGTGGCCTACACGTATCTGGTCACACCGCTGTGCTGGTTTACCTTGGACCCACCAAGAAACCTGTGATGCTAGTCTTTTTTGGACATTCGCCTACCTACGGATACCTACATATAGTACAGGTTTGTGTGGTATAATCAAAGATATTTTTAAGTGAAAATAGGTGAACTAGATCTTTTTTGATAAATTACGTTTCCAATAAGTAATGGTGTTCCCCTCCAGGAGTACTACGTGGAGGAGGGCGTGTGGGCGGGCGGCGCCCGGCGCGGCTGGGCGGCGCGCGGCGGGTTCGGCCACGCCGCCGCCTGGGACCCGCTCTCGCGGAAGGTCTACGTGCACGGGGGACTCGTCTCCGAGTCCGAGGCCACACAGGTACGCTTACAGTCTCGACCAACCTGTCGGTCTAGTGGGTAGAGGTCATGCGTTTGGTTGTATTTTATCTAAAGTATGTATGTATTTAGAAATATAAATAAGTATGTTTATCAGTACCTGGTTATACTACGGCTATATAGTACAGGCTCCGCCTAGTTTGGGCACAAACAGCTGTTTGTGAAATATGAGATTATTATAATGGTCTAAGACATTTAATATTAACACCGTAATGAGTGTGCTCGTTTCATTAATCTTTATATAGTTATCAGTCTTCAACTATGTATTATTATTGTTGCAGGCACCTTCCGCATCGCTATTTGAGTACGACCCCGAGATAAGACTGTGGCGCCCTCTACAATCAGCGCCTACCCCTAGATATTTACATACTGCTACTTTTATCACACCAGGTAAAAATAACTTTTTATTGTAAAGATTATTTTATTATTATAGTTTATTCTAAAAAATCGAAGTTCAGCCGTATCACAGAAGACTAAAAGCCGATCTGATCCTAGTATGAAAAAAAGGCTCAGAGGAACTTTCTATTTAACTCGTATTGCTGAGGGGGACGCTTTTTGACGCTGTAAATATTGAACCTCATTACCAATTAGAACCTTGTCCAAATAAAAGTAATTGTTGTGTATATACGCTGATAGTACGTGCCTGTAGGTGTGATGTTGGTGTTCGGCGGTAACGCACACAACGACAGCGCGGCGGCGCACGTGTCCAACCCCGCCGCCTCCAAGTGCTACTCCGCGGGGGCGCTGCTCTATGACGTCAGGTAAACAATCCTGCTATTTACCTCACCGTGCTATTATTCCCATCATCACACATCAACAGCCTTTACTAGTCCACTGCTGGACAGAGGTTTTGGCCTACTACGCTGGTCAGACGAGTTGGTATAGGGTTTGTTTCAAGTTTTCCTTCTCTCTGCAGTGCTGTTGTCCTGCGTAGTTTGCTCACACACCACACGGACGGATTAACTCATAGAAAATAATTATTTTCATAGTTCTGATTTGTTTTCACTCTAAGCAAAGTATGATGCGTCTCGCTTCAGCAGCGTACCGCGTGCAAAGTTTCTTCTCCCTCTATTTACAATACAAAACTTGTACTCACCTCATCTTTAGGTAACACGATTGGTAACTATCTATACATTCTAAAAAGTATTTGATGATGAAATTTCTTTTTTTTAATTTACTTATTGCCTATATATGTGTGCCTATTTGTGATACTTTGCTAATGTAGTATCACTTAAATACGTCCCTAACATAATCATTAATATTTCCTGTCTCTTTTGCAGGTGCGGCGTGTGGTACGTGACGTCATCCCCCGGCGCGGAAGCTCGCGCTGCACACGCAGCGTCGCCACTACTGCTCCGAGAGCGCCGCACTGTGTACATACACGCCGGGTACCTGCACCATTCCTTACTTGCGCTATACTTGTACTTGCCGAGCGTAGCTTGACACGTGTCACGTGTGGTACGTGCAGAGCGCCGCACTGTGTACATACACGCCGGGTACCTGCACCATTCCTTACTTGCGCTATACTTGTACTTGCCGAGCGTAGCTTGACACGTGTCACGTGTGGTACGTGCAGAGCGCCGCACTGTGTACATACACGCCGGGTACCTGCACCATTCCTTACTTGCGCTATACTTGTACTTGCCGAGCGTAGCTTGACACGTGTCACGTGTGGTACGTGCAGAGCGCCGCACTGTGTACATACACGCCGGGTACCTGCACCATTCCTTACTTGCGCTATACTTGTACTTGCCGAGCGTAGCTTGACACGTGTCACGTGTGGTACGTGCAGAGCGCCGCACTGTGTACATACACGCCGGGTACCTGCACCATTCCTTACTTGCGCTATACTTGTACTTGCCGAGCGTAGCTTGACACGTGTCACGTGTGGTACGTGCAGAGCGCCGCACTGTGTACATACACGCCGGGTACCTGCACCATTCCTTACTTGCGCTATACTTGTACTTGCCGAGCGTAGCTTGACACGTGTCACGTGTGGTACGTGCAGAGCGCCGCACTGTGTACATACACGCCGGGTACCTGCACCATTCCTTACTTGCGCTATACTTGTACTTGCCGAGCGTAGCTTGACACGTGTCACGTGTGGTACGTGCAGAGCGCCGCACTGTGTACATACACGCCGGGTACCTGCACCATTCCTTACTTGCGCTATACTTGTACTTGCCGAGCTTGACACGTGTCACGTGTGGTACGTGCAGAGCGCCGCACTGTGTACATACACGCCGGGTACCTGCACCATTCCTTACTTGCGCTATACTTGTACTTGCCGAGCGTAGCTTGACACGTGTCACGTGTGGTACGTGCAGAGCGCCGCACTGTGTACATACACGCCGGGTACCTGCACCATTCCTTACTTGCGCTATACTTGTACTTGCCGAGCGTAGCTTGACACGTGTCACGTGTGGTACGTGCAGAGCGCCGCACTGTGTACATACACGCCGGGTACCTGCACCATTCCTTACTTGCGCTATACTTGTACTTGCCGAGCGTAGCTTGACACGTGTCACGTGTGGTACGTGCAGAGCGCCGCACTGTGTACATACACGCCGGGTACCTGCACCATTCCTTACTTGCGCTATACTTGTACTTGCCGAGCTTGACACGTGTCACGTGTGGTACGTGCACAGCGCCGCACTGTGTACATACACGCCGGGTACCTGCACCATTCCTTACTTGCGCTATACTTGTACTTGCCGAGCGTAGCTTGACACGTGTCACGTGTGGTACGTGCAGAGCGCCGCACTGTGTACATACACGCCGGGTACCTGCACCATTCCTTACTTGCGCTATACTTGTACTTGCCGAGCGTAGCTTGACACGTGTCACGTGTGGTACGTGCAGAGCGCCGCACTGTGTACATACACGCCGGGTACCTGCACCATTCCTTACTTGCGCTATACTTGTACTTGCCGAGCGTAGCTTGACACGTGTCACGTGTGGTACGTGCAGAGCGCCGCACTGTGTACATACACGCCGGGTACCTGCACCATTCCTTACTTGCGCTATACTTGTACTTGCCGAGCTTGACACGTGTCACGTGTGGTACGTGCAGAGCGCCGCACTGTGTACATACACGCCGGGTACCTGCACCATTCCTTACTTGCGCTATACTTGTACTTGCCGAGCGTAGCTTGACACGTGTCACGTGTGGTACGTGCAGAGCGCCGCACTGTGTACATACACGCCGGGTACCTGCACCATTCCTTACTTGCGCTATACTTGTACTTGCCGAGCGTAGCTTGACACGTGTCACGTGTGGTACGTGCAGAGCGCCGCACTGTGTACATACACGCCGGGTACCTGCACCATTCCTTACTTGCGCTATACTTGTACTTGCACAGCGTAGCTTGACACGTGTCACGTGTGGTACGTGCAGAGCGCCGCACTGTGTACATACACGTCGGATACCTGTACCATTCCATACTTGTACTAGTACTAGCCCTGATTGCTTGGCTTCGTCAGATATTTCTAAACCAAAATACTTATTTATTTACAGTAAATATTGTCCCTTCCAGATTCGATGGTCGTCTACGTTCTGACGCACTTATATTCGAAGCGGGTGAAAGTTGCTCCCGACACACGCACGAGTCTGACTGCCTGTCTTCAGCTCAGCACACCGCCATTGCTTGCGTATGGCGGCTTAAGGACAAGACTTGCGTACCGGTAAGGATTGTTTACATACAGTAGTAATTGAATTTAATTTTACTGGAAGTAGAACTGCTAAGAAGTAGATAAATGACGAAAGTCACTCACACTCGATCGCAAGGCCAACTCAAAGTGAGCATGGTGATATGCTTACTGGGGTAGTAGCTCTCCTTCGAATACAAGATTTCAAAGACCTGTTGGAGTTTCTTAGATAAATTAGTCGTGCTACTGATATTGCATAAAAATCCTTGCTTTTTTTTTATTATAGTTGGAAGAAGTAGGATGGGCTGCATCCTTCGATGGCAGCGTAAAAGCCTGCCACGCAGAACCTCGATTTGGTAAGGCTACACTTTAAATGCAATAAAACAAACAATCATTAATAACAGCCTTCAATAGTCCACTGCTGGACGTAATCCTCTCCGTAGTAAGGAGACGATAAAAAATACTTCATTCATTCATTTAGTTAATTTTATTTTAAATAGATACATTTTAAAGTCCTCAGTAAACTAAACTTCCGTTTTATACTTACTTATTAAAATAGCCGTATTTTAAAATTCGCTTTAAAGAAAGTGAAGCTGTAAATGTATTCAAAATTATATTTTTAGTTATTATCCCATATAGATAATACCCATGGTATAATTGATTTTAACCCCTAAGTGTTAAGGAATAAATTCTATTTTACAATTTTTATATAAGGCTAAACCGATGGTTTTATCCACAGACGAGCGCCGTTGCGCCACGGCCGAGTCGTGCGCGGCGTGCACGGCGGCGCGCTGCACGTGGTGCGGCGCGTGCTACCCCACCGCCTCGTACTGCACGCGCCATACACACCAGGTAACAAGGCGCACCACTAACCATAGAGATATCACCTAGAGAGATTGCAATATAGGTGACGAGAGAGATGGATAAAATATAGTCCCCTCTATCTCTTTCTTTTCAAGCTCTGTGGTTGGCTGGGGAGTATGAGGGGTTAATAAGTAGCCAATCGCAGCTTAGCTAAACATAGACAGAGGGTAATATCGGGCATCCATCTCTCTCGTTGCCTGTATTTCTTCCACTTACAGGCAGCTGTACCCCGTGTGCTCTCTATGTTACTAACACTTTATAAATGTTGCGGCGAGTGTACTTAGTACTCATAAATTGAACTACTACTTTCTACTTACACTAACTACATGTAATACTTTCCATCAGGGCCTCCTCCCGTCTGCTCGTCTGCCCCCTCTAACATTAAAAAAAGAAAAAATTGTACTCGCACTTTGTATTTTTACTTTATACCCATACCTGATACTCGTGTTTTATACGTTATGAAAGCCATACTGCCGTTTACGTGCGAGTTATTTTACGATTTCGAGTACAATTTTTAACACACTACTCACTAACTTAGCTCTACTATCCCTGATCCACACTAATATTATAAATGCGAAAGGTTTGTCTGTAACTCTTCATGCTTAAACCGCTAAACTGATTTAGATGAAATTTCATATAGAGATAGTTCGAGTCCCGGGAAAGGACACAGGATAGGTTTTATCATAGAAATCATCCTTTAAGGGGTGAAAAGGGGGGTGGAAGTTTGTCCGGGAAATCAATAACCGCTGAACCGATTTAATGTATCTGAAATTTGGTATGGAGATAGTTTGATTCTTGAAAAAGGACATTGGCTACTTTTTACCGCGATAACCGACGCGGTAGCTTATATTAAATATTATTAACAGTATAAAGTTGCGTTATTTCCAGGCGGCGTTATCGATCGACGAGTGTACGTCGGACAGTGAGTCCCCGCGCGAGGCGTGCGTGCGCTACCACTCGTGCGCGGCCTGCCTCGCGCACCAGCACCAACACAACCATGTCGCTGTATGTATCTCTTATGTATTTATTCTCTCCTCTATGTACTTTGTATTTTCATATTAGACGACCGAATGGCGTAGTGGTCTGTGTAACGGACTGCTATTCCAAAGGTCGCGGGTTCGATTCCCGCTTGAGTCAAACATTTGTGTGCATGAACATTTAATGTTTGATTTGGTTTGGGTGTTTCTATGTATAATAAGTATGTATTTACAAAAAAAAAAGTATATATGTATTTATATCAGTTATCTAGTACCCATAGTACAAGCTCTGCTTAGTTTGGGACTAGATGGCGTTGTGTGAATGTGGTACAATATTATTATTATTATATAACCAACATTTCATTATACTTTGCCAATTGATTCGTTTAAAAAGACAACGCCCGCACTAGACATATATCCTGTGTCGGGGGGGGGGGGACGACGACGACGACTTTACAAACATATATAAAACAGACACAAAGCCACCCCGGCTTAGAACAACAATTATACCCACAACACTCAACGCAATAGAAAACGGCGAGGTGACAGAGAGACCAACAGAGGACCTAGTGTTAGTTTATTTTATGTCAACGCGCTCTCGACGGTGGTGAAGAGTTAAATGCGAGCCAGTCGCCACACCGAACGCGGTAACCGTGACGATCGAGTCGATGTAAAGAAACTTACTTGGCTTCAGAGATTGATTTTTTCACGAAATAAGTTATGTCGTTTACTCGTGTGATCGCGATTTGTGTACGTATTGACATCAGAAGCAACCCTTTAACAGGCCAATTAACTATGCTCGAGTCGGCTCGACCGGTGTGAATAACACGGCCTTACAGTCTACCCCTTAGGGGATAAAGACGTGACTATATGTATGTCACACAAATTCCAAAATGTGTTGTGGTAACTAAATAGGGTATAGGCTACATACACATCAAAATGATCTAGAAATTTATTTTTCTGCAATAGAGATAAATAATTAATGAATCTGTTCTTTTCTTTTCAGGGGTCTGATGAGTTAATTCAACGAGCCTGTTACTGGGACTACGACACGATAAAATGTAAACCTGTTAATTCTTCAGAAGATATTAGGTAGGTATGATGTTAAGGGTGCATAGGCTCGAAGTGTACTTCTGTGACACCCAGTTTAAACAAGGTTATTATGGGGGATATTGCACTTAAAGAGATGTTTAATGCAGGAGCGTGGCAGCAGCCGGCCCGTGCAGTGCTCCTTGCTCCACGTTTCAAACGTGCGCCAATTGTACCGCAGAGGAGTGTATCTGGTGTGCTTCGGCAGGACGGTGTGTTGATAAGGTAGAAGATACTTTTTCTGGAAATATTTGTGATTTATTTAGTGGCTGTCAATGGGAATGTTTGTACTAATTAAGCTTTAAATAAATTAATTCAAAGGTAAACCAGTCCACAGTTTATACAGTCCGTAAGCTTTCATCGCGCAGTGAAAGTTCTTACGCTGTTTGTAATTTCCTGATATTAATTAATTATTAGAATATGGTCTCCGGATTCAGCTCTCTTTATAGCATAGTAGTTTGATAATAGTACATATTAGTTTTAGTCGTTATATTAAATTAAAGTAATACTTTTTAGAACATAATTTTCTTTTAAATAAAATTACTTGCATAGGAATATAAGTCCGTCGGTCGTTTAAGACATATTTTCGTTGTTACACATTAAGACATGCCATCTGTACACGGTCATTAACTTGGAATACTATCGTATGTATAATATCCTGTATCGGTGTACAATAAAGATAATTCTATTGTAACGTATGTGTCAGAACGCGTACGGCGCGTCGTTCCCCCTGGGCGGGTGCCGCGCGTGGTCCACGCTGACGGGCGGCGGCGGGTCGTGCGGCGCGCTGCGCGGGTGCGCGGCGCACGTGTCGTGCGCGGCGTGTCGCGCCGAGCCGGCGTGCGGCTGGTGCGACGACGGCGCCGGCGGCGGCCGCGGCGCCTGCCTGCCCGGCGGCGCGCGCCGACCGCACGCGCCCAAGCTCTGCGCGCAACACAGGTCTCTCACTTGTGCAATACTGTTCTAACCGCTCGTGTGTCTGGCCAACCCTACAGTACTTCAGCGATCGTAACTAATTCATATAAAAATGTGAAAGTGAATTTGTACGCTGTCGCCCTTGACTAGTTAACAGATTTTCATGAAATCATTTCGCAATCTACGTTGTTCTTGTAGCTTTGTTTTATTAGCATTACCCCAGATTTCTTTGTAATACAGTAAATGCGACGTAACAAGTGAGTTTTCATATACAATTAAAAGTACAGTTTTCATATACATATACATTAAAATGATAAAATCTTGTTTTTAATGTAATCGATCAAGTTCAATAGTTATTCATTCTCAATCCGAAGTATTTTCACAAGATTTTTGTTCTAATGAAATCTTATCAACTATTAAGAGTGATGTAGGATCATTAAATTTTAGGTTTAAAGATGACATAACTTCTACATACAAAGTTAAATGTCCATGTAACCCTAGACCTGTAATACTATTTATGTATGTTAAAAACAACAGGTCCCAATATAGACCCTTATAGGACGCCATACGTGGTCTACCAATAACTAATTGAAATAAATTTTTTACGTTAGTATTGAACATCCGAAGTTGCATTGTCTTTAATTACAACGGGTTTTTTGTTTTTCTAATAGTAGTTTATGAGTAATGATATCAAAGGCTTTGCAAATCAATAAATAACCCAGCACAATATTTTTCTATCTGTTGTTTCTAATTTTTTTTTTTGTGTGTTATTTTGAGGTCGAAGTTCGTATTGACTGATATGAAATTAAAAGAATCTATCGAATAGTTGACTAGGCGGGTGTGTAATTTTTATAAAGGAAATTTTGATACAATTACAGCACAGAGATGGATAATTTCCGGGGTCAGTTTTAGGTACTGATTAAAAATCGCATGTCTTCATTCTTTAAAAGTCTGGTTTTTTCCCGATAATCATCCGCTTATGAATGCAAGATAATGAATTTACTTGTTTGACCAGGTGGCACTTCACCGCGTGTCCGGCGTGCCAGTGCAACGGGCACTCGGTGTGTGACGGCGAGGCGCGCTGCGTGCAGCCGTGCGCCGGCCGCACCGTGGGCGAGCACTGCGACGTGTGCGCGCCCGGCCACTGGGGCAGCCCGCTCAACGGCGGCGTCTGCCAGCGTGAGACACTCTCATACTTCTGACCCTAGTATAGGTTCTTTATTGCGTGCCCGTGGGCGAGCACTGCGACGTGTGCGCGCCCGGCCACTGGGGCAGCCCGCTCAACGGCGGCGTCTGCCAGCGTGAGACACTCTCATACTTCTGACCCTAGTATAGGTTCTTTATTGCGTGCCCGTGGGCGAGCACTGCGACGTGTGCGCGCCCGGCCACTGGGGCAGCCCGCTCAACGGCGGCGTCTGCCAGCGTGAGACACTCTCATACTTCTGACCCTAGTATAGGTTCTTTATTGCGTGCCCGTGGGCGAGCACTGCGACGTGTGCGCGCCCGGCCACTGGGGCAGCCCGCTCAACGGCGGCGTCTGCCAGCGTGAGACACTCTCATACTTCTGACCCTAGTATAGGTTCTTTATTGCGTGCCCGTGGGCGAGCACTGCGACGTGTGCGCGCCCGGCCACTGGGGCAGCCCGCTCAACGGCGGCGTCTGCCAGCGTGAGACACTCTCATACTTCTGACCCTAGTATAGGTTCTTTATTGCGTGCCCGTGGGCGAGCACTGCGACGTGTGCGCGCCCGGCCACTGGGGCAGCCCGCTCAACGGCGGCGTCTGCCAGCGTGAGACACTCTCATACTTCTGACCCTAGTATAGGTTCTTTATTGCGTGCCCGTGGGCGAGCACTGCGACGTGTGCGCGCCCGGCCACTGGGGCAGCCCGCTCAACGGCGGCGTCTGCCAGCGTGAGACACTCTCATACTTCTGACCCTAGTATAGGTTCTTTATTGCGTGCCCGTGGGCGAGCACTGCGACGTGTGCGCGCCCGGCCACTGGGGCAGCCCGCTCAACGGCGGCGTCTGCCAGCGTGAGACACTCTCATACTTCTGACCCTAGTATAGGTTCTTTATTGCGTGCCCGTGGGCGAGCACTGCGACGTGTGCGCGCCCGGCCACTGGGGCAGCCCGCTCAACGGCGGCGTCTGCCAGCGTGAGACACTCTCATACTTCTGACCCTAGTATAGGTTCTTTATTGCGTGCCCGTGGGCGAGCACTGCGACGTGTGCGCGCCCGGCCACTGGGGCAGCCCGCTCAACGGCGGCGTCTGCCAGCGTGAGACACTCTCATACTTCTGACCCTAGTATAGGTTCTTTATTGCGTGCCCGTGGGCGAGCACTGCGACGTGTGCGCGCCCGGCCACTGGGGCAGCCCGCTCAACGGCGGCGTCTGCCAGCGTGAGACACTCTCATACTTCTGACCCTAGTATAGGTTCTTTATTGCGTGCCCGTGGGCGAGCACTGCGACGTGTGCGCGCCCGGCCACTGGGGCAGCCCGCTCAACGGCGGCGTCTGCCAGCGTGAGACACTCTCATACTTCTGACCCTAGTATAGGTTCTTTATTGCGTGCCCGTGGGCGAGCACTGCGACGTGTGCGCGCCCGGCCACTGGGGCAGCCCGCTCAACGGCGGCGTCTGCCAGCGTGAGACACTCTCATACTTCTGACCCTAGTATAGGTTCTTTATTGCGTGCCCGTGGGCGAGCACTGCGACGTGTGCGCGCCCGGCCACTGGGGCAGCCCGCTCAACGGCGGCGTCTGCCAGCGTGAGACACTCTCATACTTCTGACCCTAGTATAGGTTCTTTATTGCGTGCCCGTGGGCGAGCACTGCGACGTGTGCGCGCCCGGCCACTGGGGCAGCCCGCTCAACGGCGGCGTCTGCCAGCGTGAGACACTCTCATACTTCTGACCCTAGTATAGGTTCTTTATTGCGTGCCCGTGGGCGAGCACTGCGACGTGTGCGCGCCCGGCCACTGGGGCAGCCCGCTCAACGGCGGCGTCTGCCAGCGTGAGACACTCTCATACTTCTGACCCTAGTATAGGTTCTTTATTGCGTGCCCGTGGGCGAGCACTGCGACGTGTGCGCGCCCGGCCACTGGGGCAGCCCGCTCAACGGCGGCGTCTGCCAGCGTGAGACACTCTCATACTTCTGACCCTAGTATAGGTTCTTTATTGCGTGCCCGTGGGCGAGCACTGCGACGTGTGCGCGCCCGGCCACTGGGGCAGCCCGCTCAACGGCGGCGTCTGCCAGCGTGAGACACTCTCATACTTCTGACCCTAGTATAGGTTCTTTATTGCGTGCCCGTGGGCGAGCACTGCGACGTGTGCGCGCCCGGCCACTGGGGCAGCCCGCTCAACGGCGGCGTCTGCCAGCGTGAGACACTCTCATACTTCTGACCCTAGTATAGGTTCTTTATTGCGTGCCCGTGGGCGAGCACTGCGACGTGTGCGCGCCCGGCCACTGGGGCAGCCCGCTCAACGGCGGCGTCTGCCAGCGTGAGACACTCTCATACTTCTGACCCTAGTATAGGTTCTTTATTGCGTGCCCGTGGGCGAGCACTGCGACGTGTGCGCGCCCGGCCACTGGGGCAGCCCGCTCAACGGCGGCGTCTGCCAGCGTGAGACACTCTCATACTTCTGACCCTAGTATAGGTTCTTTATTGCGTGCCCGTGGGCGAGCACTGCGACGTGTGCGCGCCCGGCCACTGGGGCAGCCCGCTCAACGGCGGCGTCTGCCAGCGTGAGACACTCTCATACTTCTGACCCTAGTATAGGTTCTTTATTGCGTGCCCGTGGGCGAGCACTGCGACGTGTGCGCGCCCGGCCACTGGGGCAGCCCGCTCAACGGCGGCGTCTGCCAGCGTGAGACACTCTCATACTTCTGACCCTAGTATAGGTTCTTTATTGCGTGCCCGTGGGCGAGCACTGCGACGTGTGCGCGCCCGGCCACTGGGGCAGCCCGCTCAACGGCGGCGTCTGCCAGCGTGAGACACTCTCATACTTCTGACCCTAGTATAGGTTCTTTATTGCGTGCCCGTGGGCGAGCACTGCGACGTGTGCGCGCCCGGCCACTGGGGCAGCCCGCTCAACGGCGGCGTCTGCCAGCGTGAGACACTCTCATACTTCTGACCCTAGTATAGGTTCTTTATTGCGTGCCCGTGGGCGAGCACTGCGACGTGTGCGCGCCCGGCCACTGGGGCAGCCCGCTCAACGGCGGCGTCTGCCAGCGTGAGACACTCTCATACTTCTGACCCTAGTATAGGTTCTTTATTGCGTGCCCGTGGGCGAGCACTGCGACGTGTGCGCGCCCGGCCACTGGGGCAGCCCGCTCAACGGCGGCGTCTGCCAGCGTGAGACACTCTCATACTTCTGACCCTAGTATAGGTTCTTTATTGCGTGCCCGTGGGCGAGCACTGCGACGTGTGCGCGCCCGGCCACTGGGGCAGCCCGCTCAACGGCGGCGTCTGCCAGCGTGAGACACTCTCATACTTCTGACCCTAGTATAGGTTCTTTATTGCGTGCCCGTGGGCGAGCACTGCGACGTGTGCGCGCCCGGCCACTGGGGCAGCCCGCTCAACGGCGGCGTCTGCCAGCGTGAGACACTCTCATACTTCTGACCCTAGTATAGGTTCTTTATTGCGTGCCCGTGGGCGAGCACTGCGACGTGTGCGCGCCCGGCCACTGGGGCAGCCCGCTCAACGGCGGCGTCTGCCAGCGTGAGACACTCTCATACTTCTGACCCTAGTATAGGTTCTTTATTGCGTGCCCGTGGGCGAGCACTGCGACGTGTGCGCGCCCGGCCACTGGGGCAGCCCGCTCAACGGCGGCGTCTGCCAGCGTGAGACACTCTCATACTTCTGACCCTAGTATAGGTTCTTTATTGCGTGCCCGTGGGCGAGCACTGCGACGTGTGCGCGCCCGGCCACTGGGGCAGCCCGCTCAACGGCGGCGTCTGCCAGCGTGAGACACTCTCATACTTCTGACCCTAGTATAGGTTCTTTATTGCGTGCCCGTGGGCGAGCACTGCGACGTGTGCGCGCCCGGCCACTGGGGCAGCCCGCTCAACGGCGGCGTCTGCCAGCGTGAGACACTCTCATACTTCTGACCCTAGTATAGGTTCTTTATTGCGTGCCCGTGGGCGAGCACTGCGACGTGTGCGCGCCCGGCCACTGGGGCAGCCCGCTCAACGGCGGCGTCTGCCAGCGTGAGACACTCTCATACTTCTGACCCTAGTATAGGTTCTTTATTGCGTGCCCGTGGGCGAGCACTGCGACGTGTGCGCGCCCGGCCACTGGGGCAGCCCGCTCAACGGCGGCGTCTGCCAGCGTGAGACACTCTCATACTTCTGACCCTAGTATAGGTTCTTTATTGCGTGCCCGTGGGCGAGCACTGCGACGTGTGCGCGCCCGGCCACTGGGGCAGCCCGCTCAACGGCGGCGTCTGCCAGCGTGAGACACTCTCATACTTCTGACCCTAGGATAGGTTCTTTATTGCGTGCCCGTGGGCGAGCACTGCGACGTGTGCGCGCCCGGCCACTGGGGCAGCCCGCTCAACGGCGGCGTCTGCCAGCGTGAGACACTCTCATACTTCTAACCCTTGGATAGGTTCTTTATTGCGTGCCCGTGGGCGAACACGTGTGACGCAAGTGCCAGTGTTACACGCTTCTGTCCCTATTCATGAACTCACTCACTTATATTGCAGGAAAGCAAAGGGAAAACTATTACGCATTAATAACTATTACGCGAGCGAAAAAGAAGTTGAAATAATAATTAAGAATAGTCTCATTTCAAGGATATGACGTTTAAATAAAAATACTTGACTTATCAGTCATTCAATTTTTTTAAATTAGAGCTGAGACTTATACTTAGATAGTCTGCAGTCAATATAATTTTTTGAAACCTAATTGGTCCGCGGAGTATAATGAGTGGACAGCAATGCGTCACTATTTTCTTAACACGAACAGACTATAGTGATTAAGCTTATTTTATTTTGTTGCAGCATGTGAATGCAACGCCCAAGCTGTGGCATGCGCCCCTGATACGGGCCGGTGTTACTGCAGCACTAAGGGCCTAGCCGGTGATAGATGTGATAAGTGTGATAGCACTAATCATTATCACCCAGATATTTATAACAAAGGAGCGTGTTATTGTAAGTATTTATAATTATTTTTATACTATCAATAACATAGTAGATATCATTAATTACTGAAGGAGTAGACTTCTGAATGGGAAAGACAATTTAAATTTTCGTTAGGAAATCGAATAATACAGATAAACAAAATATAGGTGCATTCGTTTGCTAAGCTCAATGTTGAGCAATTAAAAAGGCAATGTATGCTGACATAGATATTAATAAATATTTCATTAACTAAACGACAAAATGTGCTACAAAAACGTGTTTTGTAGGTGCCCGACATTTTCACTATGAAAGAAAGATTTTTCTGGATTCAAATTTCTGTTTCAAATTAATTAATCAGTCAGTTTGAATTTTTTCGAATGCAATTTGCAAATATTAAATTATATGTCACAGAATACAAGTATACTGTATGCAATGTAATGGCAAAATATTGGTGACAAATAGGAGTGTTTCGTACACTGTGTATGTAAGTGAATATTAAATGATATATTTTTTGCTAAAATACTAACCTTTATTCACCGAAGATCAGATGGACACTGTACCTCGACTTCCACAAGATTCACAGCCCGTCTCTTTTATGATTACCTTTCAATAATTAAATTTGGATTAGTCTGGTGCGTATGTATGTGTATGTAATTGCATATGCGTGTGTATAGCGTTCTGGAGATACCTGATTATCTATACAAATATGTTACATCTTCAAATATAAAATATTAGGCGTAGTATCAATTTATGTAGCTGACTGTACTATACGATTAACATGAATTAGTCACACTTAATTGTTAGTAAAATTTATAAAAGTGAAGACCTGTAATTAGCTTTCTAATACTATTCTACTGTTAATCTGTCGATTTAGCTGTAAGTCTTCCATAGAACAAATAAATGAATAAATAATAAATATTAATTTATCCTACAGATGACTTAGCAGTAGACTACCAGTTCACATTTAATTTATCGAAGAAGGAAGATCGTCACCTGTCGGCGATAAATTTCCGCAACGCGCCGGTGAAGCCGGACGTAGACGCGGACTTTAGCATCACGTGCTCTGCGCACGCGCGTATGAACCTCACAGTGCGTACGCGAGCTGATCCGTTCGAACGGACACTCTTCACTGATGTCAACTGTACGAACTTCCGGTTTAAGTAAGTCTGGTTGTCTATAATTATCAGTGGAAAATCATAGAATTTAAAAAGTTAACTGTACTTTTGCTAGTGTTTACAATGTGGTAGAAATTTGATACTCATCATTGTAGAATAATTCAGAAAAACATGAGTTTTTGTATTTATTTCAGTTTAATCATACAATTTTATATATTAATTCCAATTTTATTCCAACAGAAATTTATGTAGTTGTGAGCCGTGCTATATTATTATATTATTTAATTAGTGAAAATTTAGACTTCTGATATAAAACTTTTATTCGCAGATTCGCTAAGTCTGAGCATTCATTCGGCGTAGAAGACAACGTAACATTGACTACGTTCTTCGTATATGTGTACGACTTCCGACCACCATTGTGGATTCAGATATCGTTCTCACAATACCCGAAGCTCAACTTGCAGCAGTTCTTCATAACATTCTCTTCCTGCTTTTTGCTGCTACTGCTCGTAGCTGCAGCACTGTGGAAAATTAAGCAGGTTTGTTTACCATTTGATGTATAAGTATGTAGTATATTTTATTTATATTATGACAAGGGTAGCCGACAATAGACATTTCTTTCATAAATAATTTTAGACTGCCAGACGTGTTTATATTGGTTTGTTTCAAGTTTTCCTTTCCTTTGCAGCACTTATGTCCTGGTAGTTTTCTCCCTTAGTCGGCTCTTACAACACCCGTATTCGTATTCTTATTTATTCTTAATCAGTCACCACACGGTCGACCACCACCTAAGGGATGTTAAAATAATAGTACATTAACCTGATCTATAATTAGGTTATCGATAGGAATGTTGCAATATAGAGATTATTTAACGTAAATACCAACACTATTAACTTAATTGTAAGGAAAAGTAAGTTACTTTTAAAAATACTTTTTGTGTTAACATCCCTATTGGTTTGGTGTCTGAGATTTTGTTTTGTTTGCATTTAACCATACAAACCAACATAAGTAATTGATTACATTATGTGTATTTTTTACAGAAATATGACATGTACAGAAGACGTCAGCGCCTCTTTGTTGAGATGGAGCAGATGGCGTCCAGACCTTTTAGCCAAGTTTGCGTCGAGCTAGACAGAGGTGCTGTAGGTAAGTTTAGAAAGTAATCACATAATAAAGGGGTGGGCATAATAAAAAATACATAAAGTGCTGAAATCTTGGTCGGTTGGAGATACTTTGTGAGGGAAATATGTTCTATCTTGACCTACATGTACGAAAACAGCTACTAAACAGCTATGCTAGCTTTTACGTGTTATTTATTACCTCTGTGGGGTTTAATTTAATTTTACAGTCAATCTGTCACGCTAACTGCAATTACACTGACGCCTATATCGCTGAATGGGTAGGCACATCATCATCAATAGCCTTTAATAGTCCACTGTTGGACATAGGCCTCTCCTTAGAAAGGCACAGATGTATTAAATGCTCAAATTTTGCTGTCATTTTATGTACACGAATCCTCCTCCTCCGAAAACCTACGAGTATCTGAGTGTTTTTGTTATGTTACTTATAATTATTATAAATGTGAAAGTGAGTTTTTTTGTTTGTTACGCTTTCACTACTATACCGCTAAACTGATTTAAACAATTCTTTCACCAATGGAAAACTACATTATCAGCACGTACTACATTATACTACTACTACATTATACTACATTATCAGCACGTAACATAGGCTACTTTTTACTGCGAAAACCGACATAAACGCGGGTGAAGCTGCTGGCAAAAGCTAGTAATATATAACTTTAAAATATATCTATGTATGATTGTATTTGAATTCTAAAATTAATAGAACAAGATTTGTTTAATCTGCAATCTGTATATAATTTTATACCCTAGGTTCAGGAGTTCCAGCGCCCGTTGCTCTAGAACCTTGTAGAGGTGGGAGAGCAGCCGTCCTGTCCCTCCTAGTTAGGCTGCCCACGGGCGGGACAGGAAGAGCCCCTCCCTTGGGGGGGCTGGCTGTGGCTTCTGCGCTGGTCACTCTGGGGCATCACGCTCACCACGACGTCACCAATAAACGGCCACGACATCACTGATACACAGGTGTGATACCCATAACCGTTGTTATATTGATCAATCGAGACTTATCGTGATTATATTTTTTAATCTCAGTACCTTTGATTTTTTGACGTTTGTATCGAAATGCACCTTACCACAAAGTTGATGGCACAGCCAAAAAACTTACTGGAATTAAATTTAATTAACTCATTCAATACGTAATCTGTCAAAAGCGTTTGATTGTGTGTCTCATTAAACATTGATCAGAAAATTACATAAAATAATATAATATATACTAAACTGTAGAATTAGAGATGGCGTCTTTAAACCTTTTTGTTTCATATTTGAGTGATGTTTATGATTGGAATCCAAATAATATAATTATGTTAATGGAAAGAGATTTCTATGGTCAATTGTCACCACGGGTGTGCCACAAGGTTATATCCTGGACCATTTTTTTTCAACTAGTTAATACTTAGTTATATTAAATGTTGATATCAATTTTTTGTTTCAGATGTTGTCACCATGTATATAAATGATGTATGTATGGACTTTGTACATAGGACACATGTAGTGCATTGCTCAAAGTGTAACATTTTTTAAATAATACTCAGTTTATTATCATTTGTGTGGTGAATGTGCGTTCGGAAACCTAAATAGGTTTTTGTAGCGATATAACTGTGTTTTTTTCGTATTTGTAACAATGTACAGCTAATTGTGCTTTAATCGTTTTCACTATAATGTATCAACACCTGTATTTTTCTATGTAATATAAAAAGATAGATAGTTACTTTGATCATAGGTACTATTGTGAGCTATTTCATGTCATTACACTCGAAGATAAAATACAAATCCAACAAACTATTTTGGTTTTAAAACTTACGGGGTTTTATTAGAAATCTTGAACAAAAAACAAATTAATAAAAAGACATTTCGTCATTTGTATCGCTACAAAAATAAACAATTACACATTTTGAAAAAAAAACGATCGAAAACTATTTTTATTGTAAAATAAATAATAATAATTAAGTACTCCTAACCATTTCACTTCCATATATAAAGTTGCCAAAATACTCTAATTTATATATGTACTTTCAATAAATGCAGATATAGAATGCTAGTGCTGGATAATATTTGGAAAATTTATAAAATTAATGTGCCTTGGAGCGTTTGTACTGGAAATGGCACAACTGAGAGCCACCTCACAACCTTCATACAAAATTCAATTTATTTACTACAAGATTTTTCTATGATTCCTTTAAAATTTATACACATTTAGGTAGTTAGCATAACTTATCTTCCCATAAAAGTATGGAGGTATTTAGATTCTTTATCGCAACTTGTTAAACCCTTCTACTTGGGACCAAAATTTAGCTGTTGTTATGTTTCCCTGTCCCCCCACCCATTTCGATTTACACGCGTGACAATAACTATAATATGAACACTAATGTTAATAGTCTGGATATTTTTTTTTATCAGTAACATCTTTTTTGTCTTTTCTTAATTTTGTTAGATTGTTTTTTTTTTTAAAGGGACGGAAATGTGTAACAGAAAGCCGGTAAAGCGCGCGCTATTTGCTTTGACCAATGCGCGTGCTTCGTGCTCGAATTGGCAGTCAGATGGTTGGTGATATGTCAGATGTACACAACATAGGGTCGCTCGATGTATTTTTTTTTTTTAATTGCTCTAACTTAATTAAAAGTAAGAAAACAAAGTCATTTCCAGTACTCACATTCTAAGTGCTGTGCTTTAAAAAAAAACGACTGCATTGTTAGTATATAGAATCCTTTGCATTTTTATTGATATTTTTAATTTATATATTATTTTGTGGACTAAAATTATTGATGCTATGATTGTCTATATTTCAGATGATAGATAACTGACGATTTGGGCGGACAGTTTTCTTATATAGTCGTTATTAGCAACATAGATAGCGCTTTCGGTCGCTTTGTGTGAAAGAAACGGCTAAGAATCACTGAGGCCAATTACGCGTTAATATATTTTTTATTATTTTTTAAGGTAGAAATGCGGTAATACCTCTGGTCTTTACGGAATGGTAAATAATGAAATATTTTTCTCTAGCTGTTCCCCTGGGGATACAGTGGAAGATAAATTTTAACCTCTGTATCCGTGGCCGCAAAACTCGACAAAATTAAACATGTTATTTTGACACAGCAAGTGTGTGCATATCACAAGATTAAGTGCACTTCAGATAATATCTAAATATTACGACAATTTCATTATTATTTTTACTTTTTTTTTGTTTAGCGAAGTGGTGTAAATAAGGATAATATAATAATTTTTTGTCATTAATTCAAAAATCTAATTTTGTGCAATAACCTCAACATTAATGTTAGATACTTTAACATCAAGATTAATATTAGAAAACAATAATATAACATGTTTAATTTTGTCGGGTTTCGCGGCCAGAAGTACAGCAGCTAAAATTTATCTTCCACTCTACCACCAGCGGTACAGCAGGGGAACACAGGAAAAGAAGCGATTGTGGTCGCCTTTATGAATCAAAAGTTTAAGTTGAAATATATAAATATATTATGAGAAATAATCACAGCAACGACAATTTTAGTCACTAAGAGCTGATTCAATAAACAATAGTCGATATTTGTAATTAAGTGATATTATTTATTTTTATCAATTAGGGATATTTTAGCTAGCAAATGAAATGCTTGCAAAATTAATTAAAAGACAATTATTTCACATAAAATTGTAGGTCTTTTCTTAATATTTTACTTTTATTTACGTTGTTATTTAATGTTGAATGTAAATGGACAACGATGTATTTAATAAAGTGGTACCATCACAAATAATTGTCGACTTGAAGGCAATATTTTTAAACAATTTATAGTTGGACACTAGCTTCGTTCGCGTGGAATTTGAAAAGCGCTGCCTTAGTGAGTTCGATTCCCGGACCAGGCAAAATTTTATAGGGTTTTTCTGAGAGATAAAATAGCCTAAGTTACTCCTTATATAGACAGCTATTTGGTAGTAAAATATTATCAAAATCGGTCCAGCCCAGTTTGTAGACCCGTGTACCCGGAACAAACAGACAGACAGACAAAAAATATTTGAACTGGTTTTTAGGCTTAGGTATCGTGCAAATGACCGTGTAAGCATGACACGTGAATTTTATTTATTTGTATAGATTAGTGGTAACATTGTGGCGGTTACTAATCTACTAAAATCCGTAGCCTGATATTAAATATCCTATTATGTACCTTGAGAATTACGCTATAAAGTGAAAACATAATGTTTAATAATATTTGTCCAGATTTGAATCATAAAAAGAAGCTTAAACAATTAGGCCTTAAGGGTGGGACTTAAGGACAGCTTTATAAGGCACATAATTCAGCAACTAATTACCTTGTTTTGGATGTCTACTACATAGTCCTTAACCATATTTGCCCACCAAATATTGCACAAAAACATCAGTTGCAGATGAGAACTAATTGTGTGGTCATGCAAAGACAGTCACAGAGTGGGGATTCATCCACTCCCTTATTGTCATCTGAACCCAAAGACCTGGTATCTTCCACATAACACCACGTCTTTGAAGAAGTCAGGTTTCATGGACATGGACCACGGACGAGATCTTTGCTACAAGCCCCATATTTTGTTCTGCAGGGGGATATCTTCCACATAAAGGCAAAATTGCTTACTCTCAAGCGGGAGTCTGTACATATTCAACTCCAGTGCATATCCCCCATATTAGGCACCTCCTACAACCCTCCGTCATGGGAGAGACCCACCGCATCCGTCGCAAACCACATGATGGTGCCAGTGACATACACGACATAGAAGGTTCCAACCCCAAGGATGAAACTTTGGGATCAGGGATACACCACGTGCACAACCGCGACATTCTTGTCATGTGTGTTGGGGAGACATGTTTCTTGTACGGGTGATGATTCTGTTCAAGTTAGCAGCTTGGATTATCCATATACGAGAGGCCAATTGCCAATTAGGGAGTGCTCCCTGCTGGTGGCTCTCCAAATGTGGTTGAGGTGGAGCTCCATATACGTGGAAAGAGTGGTCACCTTCATGGACCCTGAGGGTTTTCTGTTCACGGCTACAGGCCATGTAGTTACCCTACCAGGCTTCCCTCACTAGAAAAATCTTAATTTTGATGATGGAAGAGAGGTCCTCTTGCATGCCCCACAGACCCTTGCCAGCCCTTGTTATCCCTTCCCGGTTTCTCAGCTAATAATTTATACTCCCTTGAAAAGGTTGTAGCCAACTCACACGATAATCAGTCTTCCCCGTGCACTTTATACATATTCAGGAAACCCATTCTCCTAGACCACGTCCTTCATTTACTTTACGAAGTGGCTCCCCGATCCCAGTTCCTGTACAATTAGAAATTTATTGTTTTTAAATAAATGGTGTATTCCCATTTATTTAAAAACAATAAATTTATATATATTTATACCTACATACGAATATAATATTATATCATTTACTTTTACTTACATATTCAAAAATATTTAGATATACGACTTCTTTATAAATCCAAAATCAAAAGCATTAAATTTAACTATGTACCATAAAATTATTGCATTGTAAAAAAAAACCTACAAAAGAATAAAAATAAAAAACTTACCATAAAAGCCTAAAGTATAATTAAGTAATACTTAACATTAATATATTAAAAGCCCATAGATTATAATATTAGATCCAAAACACAAGCAATCAATTTCGAATCTTATTTCAGAAGTGTTACAATGGGTCGTGTCCAGTTGATCAAGAAACAATATTTTTAAAAAATACGTTGGTGTTGCCATGAGAAAAATAATGCTTTCAAATCGACAAAGTAAATAATACGTAAAGTCACTATTACATATAATAATTAGATGTACATAGTGCTGCTTATAAGACTACGATATTCATATTTTTTTTACGACTGATGTGTAAATGATGTAAAATATAAATGTTTTTGCTTTTTTTATGTGCAAGCGCATTTAGTTGGTGAATGTTGGGGCGGACTTTTAACATATTATTGTTATTAATGTATTTATATAAAGACTATTTTAGATTGCCAATAATTATTTATGTTTTAGTATGTTTATGTAATATACAAGGTTATTCTTTAAACGAGTGGCTAAACTTAATAACATTTTGTTTATTGTTTGCTAAGTTGAATGTTATTGAACTCGTGTAACATTAAACTTACTTGTAAAAGTTACAGATTAAACAAGATTAGCAAAACGTGAGTATTAAGGTACGCTTCCACTGAAATTAATATAGATATAACTAATTTAAAGTACTAAAAATAACCAATTTAATCTTAAAAGTTTTTTATCCATTCACTAAAAATAACCATGTATATTTTTTTGTAATATCAATTTTATTTCTGGCGAACAAAAAAAAAATACATTATGAAACATACTTATGAATTAAAAGAAGAAAATATAATCACAATTAGTACACGTGGTTTAAACAAATATTAACTAATTAGTAATATAGTAGGCTATCACTGCAACACAATATTACTAGTAGAAAAGTGCCACGAATATAACAATTCATCACAACAGGTATCACTGTCTGCCCACAACATTCACACACATGTTTGTATTATATCATAGTTGTAGCTATAAAAACACATATTAAATAAATAATATTATTCAATAAATGGTAATCCGTATGCAATCGTAATAAAAGATTATTGTCCAACAATTATTCTTATGCTAATTAAGATTAATAAAAAAATGTGTTTCGTTAAGAGGTTCTGAATTTTGGTGAAAAGAAAAAATAATAAGTAGTTTTTTTTTTTACTTTTTTATTACGATAATGAATTATTTTAGTACGATTTTCTCACTTTATGTAATGTTATATGTGAAGAGATGTAACTTAATGTATATACATTTATATGATAAAAAAAAAAAAGAAACGAAAGATAGAATAGCTAGAAGAACTAAAAACATGTTTTAAAATATAGCTAAAGACACAATAGTCACTTTAAACAAAACAAAAACTAACTAAAATCTGTCTATCCTGTTAATGTTATTAGTTAAAAATTGTAACTAATTAGTATGAGAGTTCCATTTCTTCATATATTTCGTTTTTATTTTTCAATATTAATATTATAGGCGTATTTTATTAACGCGTCTAAATGTATTAATGATCTCAATAAACGAAATATTTTATTCTAAACAGTGAATCAATCAATTGAGAGATTAAAAAAATATTATGTATTATGTACAAAAATAAGTCAATTTATTTTACATTTACTGAGTCCAAACAAAGGTATCAAATAATAAAAAAAAACATGAATAATCTTGAATTCTTATGAATTTTGAATAAAATAATTATCATGGCAGCTAGAAAAGTCAGGGTATGTGCCTTAGCACGTGATCATCTTCCTGGTAGTTTAAGTAGTGGCAGTATATTGAATCAGGATTTAATAAAAAAACAGTAATAGTCGATGATATTTCCGTTACTCAGATTGCCCATCCCAAAATATTTTTCTTCAGCTTTCATAAAATTTGCAGACAATGACCTGTAAGTTTTAATATCGTGAAATACATTTGAAAAGAGAAAGATATCGCCAAAAATATTAGTTTCTGTTTAGCTCTGTAGTTGACTATAGAACTATTATTTTTTTATAAAACGTGAACATTCTGTGACAACTTAGTAACGTCACGTCATACTTTACTTCCTTCAAATCATTATTAAATTTGAAATACTACAACATTTAAAATAGTAGTCTAAACAAAACCTACATAAGGACTGTTAAATAGATTTTTTTTTACTATTGGCAATTATCATTTTTGCACATTCATGTTATTCGTGCGTGTTCCGTTATTCTAATGGTAACATTAATTTATGTCATATGAAATGGCTCTCTAAATGTTAACTCTTTTTTTATTTAATAACCCTGCATTATTGATAACTATACTCAATAGCTTCGAGCTCCTAATACAATTTGTATTCTTGCTAAAAATATTTTAAATTGCCGAAATTAAAACATTTTTGTCAAAGATCTTCATGTAGTAGTCCTGATATACTTGTGTATACATCTTATGTATTAAAACTAGAAAAAAATGCACGTTTCGATAACATTGTGTAAACAACAGTTACTAAAAATATTGTTAAATTACTAAATATGTCAAATTTTATTTGAATCTCTAATATATAATAAGTTTTTTTTTAAATTGTATTCTGCTAATTCTGATATATCTGTGTAAAATATTATAAAAAATAACGGTTATTTAATAGATTTTTCTTAAACTGCCGTGATATCAAAATCATGTCGTTTCATGAGCTTCAAAAGATAAAAAGAACTTTGATATTTATATAACAAAATATACCAATCCTTTCTAGACACTAATGATAGACATGTTGAGAATATTAGTGCAAAAAACTGTCAATTCAGTTAGCTACGACCAGACCTGACATCCCCAATCTAGCACCGTAAACTGTTAATATCTGCGCCAAAATATTAATAATAATAAAAGCATAATCTATCCAATATAATATTACATTAATTTCATCACACCTTAGCCGCGAAAATAAATATATGACTAAGAAAAAAAAAACATCCAATTTCCGGACACTTTAGTACGAAGCTCGTATGTACGACAACATTACGAACTGTGACAATAATAAATAACTACGACAAAATATATCTCATAATGTAATGCACTAAAGTCCATTATATCGTAAATAGTTATAATAAAAGGAATATAAGTCGCCTGTTTAGAGAAAGCTATAAGCCAATCTAAATAAGTTCCAGTATCACTGGCTTCGGTTCCAACCCTCGATGATTACAACACCATCTAGCTTCTAACTGTGTCAATTAAGATGCTATAATAACTTAAATAAAGTCATCTCAGTGACAATTTTGTAACACATTACAGTTTTGCAGCCCTTATAAAGTTATCTCTTTGTCTGTCTGTCAAGACATTTTCTCAAAAACTGTCTTCAGTCCCTTGTAATTATTATAAAAAATAATTGGAAAAGTCTTGCAAATATTTTCAGGAATCGGTTCCTGAGATCCGAGATACATGATAACATTTGTTGGCTTGTCTGGCTGTTGTATATTAATTTTAAATTAAAAAATAACGGAAAAGAGAATCAGCAAAAATATTAAACAGAATAATTATTTTCAAAGCAGATAAATGCAATTTATTACTACTGTTGATTATTAGCCCAAATAATATATAAAATGTTGAGAAAAATGTATGTTTTAATTACATCTCACAGCCAGTTAAAACAACGACTTAGTAATATATTTTACTGAGTTATATATTACCCATACACTTATACCCGACCTTCGGGGCTGAACAGACTGGGCGTTGTAATACTGGGGCGGTAGCCCGGTCTGTGAGTTCTTAATATAAATCATAATAAGTGAAGATACATAAATATTAAACTGCCAATATAATAAGTTCAGCTTATTAGTGAAAAGCTAATGTTTTGAATATACATATATAAAATATTTTTTTTACGAAAATATTATTATTTTCAGTGTTCACGTATTAATATAGAAACAATGTAAATAAAAAATATTGAATTTGTTTTCTGGTAATCTCTTCGAACAATAATCATAATTATTGAAACGCAATACTTTTATGATCTGCGATTTGTTTTATTTCTTTGGAGGAGTTATCTCAGGACGTGATCAGGCCCATACTTCGACTGCGTTACTTATCTTAAGTAATGCAGTCAGTCAGCAGCTGTTATGGTTCCGAGTCCCACCTGCAAAGAGATTAAAAAGGAATGAAAATATTAATTAATATATATTTTTTTTATATTGAGCCGAAAGGAAAATGCCTATATTATATTTATTTTTATTTAAGGTCTGTTGTAATTTTAATTATGCAATGTAAAGAGTAAACAGGTTCTAAGAATTCGTTACCCAATTAAAGTCCACCTTATTTGAACAAGTGCAACAAAACTTGGTACA